GATTGCTCTAATTCCCGATTTTTTTTCACTGTACCGCAACGCAAGCGGGGGGTCAATGTTCACGGTTTTCACTGTCACCTCTGTATTGTGAACTTATCATTACAGTTAGGAAATAATTCCTGGACTTTCTTTTTCCTGCAACTGTCACCACCGTGAATATATAGTTCCGTGAACATGTCCATTTTTCTCAGACCGTGAAAATTTTGCTTCCGTTAGTAGTAGTTACAATCTCGTCAAAAGTGTAAAGTAAAGCTGTCGAGATTTAAAGTGCGTGTCGTTGTATCTTTGTAAAAAAAAGGGAGATAATTGCCAAGTGCCAGTTTTGTAAATACCTGTCGAGATTCAAACAGCTTGTCCTTGTATAATTGCAGTATGATTTATTTAGAATCTCTCATTTTTGTTTGGGGAAGGGTATGGAGTGAAATTCCTACATTTGCTCCGAAGCAAATGTTGGCCTTTCTAGTTTAATATTGTCTCTTTTAGCCTTAATGGTATACAACACACATGATATCTTACCCGAATCTTCAAGTACTCGGTAGGATCCATTTCTTCGCCGTTCTCATTCTCCATCTTTAGAGATACGTCACGTAACAGCCACAGGAAGTCTGGAAAGAACTCATGAAACGCTGAAATCCGCGTCACCCCTCCTTTTCTAACCGAAATCCCTCTAGCCAACTTGATGAAGCACCTGATGCATTTTAGACAAATTATGAATCATAAATCTCATTCTGCACAGATAATGATTGATTTTAAGAGCCATTTTAATAGTCATCATTGGCAAGTGAAACTGTATGGTATTATCAGTTCACTTACTGCATGTTTTCCAGATCTCTCTTGTACGGCACACTGAGTGAGTTGTAGATGAGTTGGGAGGACAGCAGGGTCGTCAGCACCAGGATAGAGGCGTCCTGGTCAGCACTGGCACCAGCCGCGTCTAAGATTTGATGTAATGTATTTTATCGAATAAGTGTATCATCAAACGTATTTTCTAGTGAATCTTAATTTTGTATTACAAATGGGATCGGCCCTTTTCTGACTTTTCTGTTCTTTGAAATCCAATGTTCCTTCTTTAGCCCTATTTAGACTGCGCTTTTTTGGGCATTCGTGGAACTGGGGGGCTTATTCTACCCCTCCCCCCTTCATAACTCAAGAACGGTATATCCTACTACCACGAAATTTTCAGAGGATGGTGTACTCTTTAAGCTGCCAGCCATCTTGGATGGTCAATCTTGAATTTTCGAAAATTTTTATCACGATACGGCCTAGACATACGATGGAAATGGACCAAAGACGTTTGTATGAAAGTTTTATGTAAAAAAAAGCGAAGTTGTGATGACATAAAAAAAACTGTATACAATAATGATAATAATAATGATAATAATAATAAATGTATGGTCCGCCATTTTGGATTTGACTAATGACGTCATCAAATTAACATACATTATAATTTTTATTAATAAATCTCGTAAAATGTTGTTAATGTTAATAGCATATGTAATGTATCATAAAATGTGAAAATATCAATCAGAAATTACTAATTTTTGCGAAAAGCGCCTGTCAGAAACATGTTGCCATGGCAAAACGAAAAATCATTTACACAACTGACTAAATAGAAAGTGTCATCAATTTGCTGGTTCTAGCTCAAGCCGTTCATACGTTATCAGATAAAAAAAAGTTGGCGCAGGCACTATATCCCCCCCCCCGTCTATAGATAGGGTTGACGGTTTATTGTGACCCTTAACCCTCGTAGTATAAAATACAAGATGATTACAGCACGAACTACAAGTGTACAAGTGCTTTTTCTGTTATGAACAAGTGCCACTCTTTTCCTTTCGCAAGTAAGTCGCAACTGGGTGACTTGTAAAAAATTGTTTTCCACTCCTACCTGCAGCATAATTATATAGGGCCCACACACCACGTAAGGCACACAATACCACTAACCTATGCCTTCTGTGTCCAGCAGCACGATGGTGAAGTTTTTCCCCCGAAGTACCTTGGTGCCCATCCAGATACCATACGTTTGGGAGTCCCAGAGATGTCCCAGCTCAAAGGCATCGGCTGTACCCAGCAACCTATAACACCAATGTTTTCATGAGCCATGTCCATAACAGTGTAAATTAAATATTCTTCAAATCCGATTAGGCATGATCTTCGCGGCGATGTATGAATAGGCATAGAGGCCTTACAAAACCCTCTTGCTTTCGTTGGGTACATGGACTTCTCCATAACTTTATTTGCTTGAAGGTCTTGAGACCAAAACTTTTAAGTTAAAACACAAAATCTAATGGGTAAGACCATAAGTACCTGGAGAGGATGTAGCTTTTACCAGACCGACAGGGCCCACAGATAGAGAGGACGCTCACGGGCTCCTTGATCCCTTCCAGTAGCTCTGAGGCCTCGGGAACGACGTACAGGCTTGTTCGTTTGGCGCCGGGTACCTTCTCGACTCCAGCGGTGGACGCGTTGTACTTCAGATTGTTTGGCAGAATGAGCGGGATGGACGAGCCTTTGACTACTTTTCCACCTGTTTTCGGCTTCAGCTCCTCCACCTTGAACCCGAGCTTGGAATGTAACCACGATATGTCTGCTGCAGATAAAGAACAATATCATGATAGAAACTAAGCAGTATTTTGTGCATTTTCCAAAGACACAGCACAGGGGCATGCCGTGGTTTCGAGCCCAGAACCTCAGGATTCTCAGTCAACAATACCACAAGACTACCTTTTTATTGCCCAGCTTTTGTTTACAGCTAGGAGTCCAGAATGCTACACCTTCATTCTACTTCCATGTCACTATGGAGGAAAGATGAAGGACAGCTTTTAACTGAGGAAACTTGCAACAATGGAATTAAAATATACTACACACATAGTCATACGATAGACAAGTAACATATAAATACAAATACACTGTAAACAATTATCCTTAGAAAGCACCTATGTTGTTGGATCAGTAATGTGTCAAACACTTTAACAGAATTTTTTTCTATAATGCTGCCTAACAAAAACACTAGAATCCAGTACCTACCACTATGAAATTCGCCTTTCTCCATGGTCTTCTATTCGAGTGTACCACTAGTCCAGTCTCTCATGCCAAGCCTGCTCGTTTACTTCTGTGACGGTGGTGTTATTAAGCGTCATTACCATCATCAGCCGTTGTGTTTCTCTTTATTTCCCTTCCTGAAAAATATAGCATTGAATTTTTTTTATTTCTGTGTGCTCATGTCTTACTAGATGATAAACATTGTTATATAATGTGTTACATAACGTAATAAAACATTGTATAAAAAAAGGATAAATATGTACTAGAAAGGCCGGTATTTCCTTTGGAGCAAACGCAGCAAATGGTTCACCACACCCCCCGCACTAAAAATAGACCTGCCCCCCCTCCCACACAAATAGATTGTTCCTAAATCACCCCTGTTCAAAATGTAAAGCATTTCAACAGTCTATACCCCCATGTAGCAATGGAATCTTCCAAGCCTTCTACTGTGGATTGACAGGATCCATGCCACCCCGTTTCTGTTTGATGGCCAAGCGCTAAAAGACTAACTTCCCATGCCACTATGTATCTGCTTGGAGATTGCAAATGTCATCAGGCCGCGAAAGTCACTTCCGGGTTGGCGATCCGTCATTAGGGGACGCGCCACCAAATCCAATCCTCATAGGTTTCTATACAAAAGCATGCATATTCAAGCCTTCAAACTACACTTACCTTGGATCTCCAAAATCTCCCATCCTTGGGATAGCTAAACATGTCTAGTTGCCATTTGTGGAAAAAAAACACGCTTCGACTACTGCATTTTAAAGCGCTAGCATGCACATAGCAGCTGATGAAGGAAAACAAGAACTGACCTTTGAACCCCCAGGTTGGAATCGTCTGCTTCAGGGGGTGTGACATGACCCCAAAAGATGTAACATAACACCACTATACAACACTGAGGTCACAAGAACTCGAAATGATTTTGGTGACTGACGACTTGCCATGGTACTGCAGCAGAACTTCCGCCTTAGTATCTCATGATTTAGGTATGCTAAGGTCACATAATCTAGATAGTAGATAGCTCTTGTGTTGGGGAAGAAGTGACATGAGTTTGATTCTCCTAGCTGCTTGCTCTGAACTGCAGGGGCGTTTGTTGAAAAGCGTTTAAAGGAGGATAACTCGAGAACTGATCAATGGATCGTCCTGATAATTGGTATGTAGGTAGCTTAAGTGATGCTTGACATAATAATATTACAATTATACAAATATGGATGTAATTTGCATAATTAGTGAGAAAATTTTATAATTCAAAAGTGGTATCTGCCTGGAATTTCATACTTGGGGTATTTGAAACTTACGTGAAGGTGATCATTATTAAACATAACTTCCTCAAATAATGACCTCATTTGCATAATATATGAGAAACTGCTATAATGGCATTATGATAAATCTTGATAAATATGACCAACGGATATTTGATTTTTGATTTTATTGTTTGCACATTAACAAGACGGACAATAATAATATAAAAAACAATGATAAAACAGGAGCAGGAGGAGGGGAGAAGCATGGCGTGCTTATACTAGGCCCTCCTCCTCTAAACTATACAAAATTAAATATAATTAATAAATGGAAATAATACAATAGAAAATGGAAATAATACAATAAGGATAATGAAATAATGTATGGTATAAGTTAATGACAATGAAAATAAGGTAATGATAATAATTGGTATGAGTTATAATAGGAGAAAATATTAAATAAAACTACTACAGGGGGCTAGGTTCGTTAATCAGATAGTTTTTCAAAGCTTGTTTGAGTGAGAGAAGAGACAACGTAGGATTTTTTAGGGCTGGAGTTAGTTTATTCCATAAGGTGACGCCTTTGTATCTAACCGACATTTGGGCAAGAGAAGTTTTTACTAGGGGGATATGAAAATCGGAACGTTTTCGATATAATTCATGCCATTGAGAATCCTATTTACATAATCAGGGGGACTAATCTATAATTTCTCAGTCATGAAGGTTCACATGATTTGGCAAAGGTATGAGATTGTGGAACTCTAGTCTTGTTTTTTTTTAAAGCAGGGCCAGCTTTTCTAAAAAGCCTTTCTTGTTTTGGAGAGCAATGCGAGTTATGACACAGAGGGACGGTTTTTCCACCGAGGGTCTTTGCCGGGACCACAGAGGGACGGTTTTTCAACCGAGGGTCTTTGCCGGGACCACAGAGGGACGGTTTTTCAACCGAGGGTCTTTGCCGGGACCACAGAGGGACGGTTTTTCCACCGAGGGTCTTTGCCGGGAAGAGAGGGTCTGGCCACCCAACAAGTCTGCTTGCACTCGGCGTCCTGAAAGCCTTATTAGAAAACACTTATCAACGTTTGGCTTGGATGTGTGAACTCCCCGCAATAAACGTCACAAGGGCAGGGAGGTGTTCACGCCCCTTTGCTCGACGAGTCACAACCTTCTAGCGGTCACCAATCAAACCGTCGGTAAAACGCTTACCATTCCCGAAAACTCCACTCAACAAATCCCCCCATGGCCCAAAAAAGTTCCACTGCAGTTCCATAACAAGCCTCCAGGCCAGTTTTTTAGCATTTTGAAGTCTCATCAAGACCTACCGACCTACTAAATATCAAGACAATTTAGTTTTCTCGAGTTGCCGTGTTCACACACACACACACACACACACACACACACACACACACACACATGTACACACACACACACACACATGCACACACACACACGCACACGAACACAAACGCCACTAAAAACATTTAGGTTGGATGTTTGCCATAAGGCTTCAACTTTTAACGGATAAAATGGGTTAATAAATAACAGTTAGGTGTTATTCGGCTGCTTGGGATAGGGTTCACCAAGGAGGTCATATAAGAAGACCTTACGGAAGTCGCTGTACTTTTGTTGTGTCAATAAAGTTCTCTATAAGAACTTTGCCCCTTTGTTTTCCCCCGCTGCGATCTATTGTCCCCGCGACCGGCGGGACCGGCTTTGATTTTTATGTACATAGCTATCATTAACCTCCTTGGGTACACCTTAAAGTTTGCATTCCGACGGGCTCGACTGGTCTCCTGGGGGCGTAGGGTTAGCGGTAAAGGGTTACCACGGAGTTATGTGAATGCCAACGTCTCATAGAGTCGTCCCTAGGCACAAGCAGATGACTGAGTGGCATCCTTGATATTTATATTTCATGCCATACCGTGGTAAACTGGACACATGATGCTGGAGAGAACTTAATCAAAAAGGTTAATATGGAACAGTACATTTTGCGTTGGAGAGAGGGAGTGCACACGATAGCACATAGTTTGCACACACACACACATCACACAGAAACACATACACAAAGACACAAAAAAAAAACACACAGCAACACACACACACACAAACGCACACACACATATCTTCTTGGCTTGGCCGAACACACATATACATAATCACGAAACACACACATACACAAACACACGCTGGCACACCCACACCCACATGAAAAACATGTGCTGTATTGTGTAATTTATATGATAATCACATCTTACATGCCACTCCACAGGTATTTCGATATCAAGGCAAATGACTCTCTTTCAGGGAATGTGGTAAATACACTTGCATACCTGCGTACTGACAGAAACAGCGCGAAATAAAATATAACTGCATCAATTGGTATCACTTTCCCATTCTTACGTGATTATAGAGTACAACATCCGTAAAATCAGTAGTCTATATAAACATTTAATCAATAAAAAAACTTACCTTAGCATTTTCACTTATTTTGTACTTTCTCTTTCTCTTTCTCCGCTACTCACAGCGAAGGACTACTTGCAGTGAAGCGGTCCTACACTTCAATTGAGGTACTTCCGGTCTTGCAAAACATTTGACGCTGCTACTAGTGCTAGAAAAACGGTCGTTTCAACAATCTACAAGTGCTCCAGTAGCCAATTTCACCTGATATCAATTGAGTAACACGCATGAGCGCTAGCAGGACTGTACCAGGCTGCAGCACTTCGCAAACCTGTCCTTTCCTTAACAACGAGCACAACGCAATGACGTCACTGCCGGGTGAGCAAAGTCACCTGGGACGGGACAAGTCCACTCAGCTGTACAGGTGGAAAGTCAAAGGCTTTGATTTTTTTTAAATCTAGGAAGAATCATTTCTCAGCTATGGTTTAATTAATTAGAAAGTTTTGTTTTCTATATATAATTTTTTGGTTAACAATTTACACAATAGGCAGAACGGAGTTTAGTAATTGTTGGACGCCGTTCTATACAAACAACCTGAAAAGGCCATCTGGGTCACCAACTAGTATGCCAACTACGGTGGCCCACAAGTACTTACCTGCCTCACCTGCGTAAACACGTGCATTGTCTGCGCAAACACCTGCGTCATCTGCCAAAATGCCTTCGTAGTCTGCACGAAAAAAGCTGCGTCTAATTACACTGCGCTCTCATTGGTCATCCGTAATAACCTAATTAACCAACCCCATATAAGGCATGCGCGCCTTATCACTTCATCCATTTCTTCGGAGCCGTCCGCACCGCGAGGAGCAGCAGGCTAGGGTCGTAGTGAAGCCCTGAAGCCCAGCAGTTTTCCCGGTCCCCACGTGCAGAACTCCTTCGTTAAGCTAGCAAGTTTGCTCCAAGAAAAGGTTTGGGCTGCGGCGAGGGTAACGTTTCTCTTTTACAAACGTTTTTTCTGCATTTCTGGGTGCTTACCAGGCCTGTTTTAGTAACAGTACGTTCGGGGAGTTCGGGCGCACGTGGGGCCGCCGTCTCTTTGTTCTGATACGTTTTGTTTCTCGTTTGGGTTTTTAGAAGGGTGGGCTTCAGCATTTTGTTTTCTGAGTGTTACTCAGGGAGGGCGACTCGAGTCAAGTTTTCCCAAAGCGCTCCACGACTTAGCCTACCTGCTTCGCGTGGCGGAGGCTTGCTCGGGTTGGGGAAATTTGGTCTGACGAGCTTGTTCTGACATGCACGTTGTTGTTGTTGTCGTCTTATAGTATGGATTCCAGCAACCAAGCCAAGCACCTCTGAAGCCGGAAGGAACCCACGCACAGTAGGACAACAACGAGACCAACCCGGGCAAGGCAGAGTACAGCAAGTTCTCCCGGCCGAGGGACAAGTCCAGCCTCCAGCCCCCAGCAAAAGGCACCCCATTCCGGAGCAGCAGCCAGCAGGAAGAGCAACAGGACCCACCACTCAAGACCAGCCAACGCCGCGGGGCAGCGGCGAAGTTCAGTTCGAGCGTCGGAGCCGGGACAGCCTCAAGCGGCAGGCGACCGGCTCAGGCTCCGGCAAGACTTGCAGCATCGTCTCTTCGCTGACGTGGTTTACTGTGGTTAGCCATTTGTTTCGTTGATGCTGTATTGTTGATTTGGATTTTCTAGGATTTCGATGCGGTTTGTGATAACCAGCTTTCGTGTAGTTTGGTGTAAAGTTTGGACATTCAGAACCGGGACTGCCGGTGTTGTGCTTGTTCTGGTTTCTAATGCTAATATTGGTTGTCTGTGATTTGGAACGCACGTGCAGGAGCATTGCACGTGGCGCCAATCTCTTTTGTATGCAAATTTTGGCTATGCGCAAGGGGCGTGTAGGCCGAAATCAGTGCGGATATTCACAAGATTGTACTGCAACATGGCAGTACAACGAGGTGACAAGGCGGTCACCGAGTGAATGTTTAGCGCAAAGAGTTTGTGGCTATACACTAGATTGTACTGCAACATGGCGGTACAACGAGGTGACAAGGTGGTCACCGAGTGAATGTTTAGCACAAAGAGTTTGTGGCTATTCACTAAATTGTACTGCAACTCGGCGGTACAACAAGGTGACAAGGTGGTCACCGAGTGAATGTTTAGCGCAAAGAGTTTGTGGCTATACACTAGATTGTACTGCAACTCGACGGTACAACAAGGTGACAAGGTGGTCACCGAGTGAATGTTTAGCGCAAAGAGTTTGTGGCTATTCACTAGATTGTACTGCAACTCGGCGGTACAAGGTGACAAGGTGGTCACCGAGTGAATGTTCAGCACAGAGAGTTTGAGGATATTCACGAGATTGTACTGCAACACGGCGGTACAACGAAGTGACAAGGTGGTCACTGAGTGAAGGTTTAGCACAAAGAGTTTGAGGATATTCACTAGACTGTACGGTAACATGGCGGTACAACGAAGTGACAAGGTGGTCACCGAGTGTAAGGTTTAGCACAAAGACTTGAAAGAGTTTGAGGATATTCACTAGACTGTACTGCAACTCGGCGGTACAACGAGGTGACAAGGTGGTTACTGGGTAAAGATTTAGCATAAATAGTCTTGCGGATATTTACTAGATTGTACTGTAACACGGCAGTTCAAAGAGGCGACAAGGTGGTCTCTGGGTGAAGACTTAGTACAAGGACTTGCGCCCGGATATTCACTACATTGTCCTGTAACATGACGGTGCAACGAGGTGACAAGATGGTCTCTAGGTGAAGACTTAGCACACACAAAGGGAGTGGGGAGTGTGGATATCCACTAGACTGTACTGTAACACGGCGGTGTAAGGAAGTGACAAGATGGTCACCTAGTGAAAATTAGCGCAAAGAGTTTGCGCTAGAGGTTGTACTGTTACATGGCAATGCAACGAGGTGATTAGATGGTCACCAGGTGAAGACGTAGCGCACACAAAGGGTTTGTGGATATTCACTAGATTGTAATGCAATATGACGGTGTAACGAGGTGACAAGATGATCACCGGGTGAACACGTACAATGTCAATGTACTTTCAAACACACAGGGTGTGCGGATATTCACTTGATGTACCATAACATGGCGGTGCAACGAGGTGACAAGATCACGGTGACAAGGTGGTCTCCAGGTGGAGATTTAGCATACAGGGTGTGCGGATATTCACGAGATTTCTCAGTAACCGTTGGTACAACGAGGTGACAAGCTGGTCACCAGATAAACGCTAGAGATCGATGGCAATCAATATCAAGTATGTACCAGTTATCCATGGCTTTAGCGAGGGCGCTGGTTTGACGCTGGAGCCATGGACACAATCCGCAGAAGTGATGGGCGAGAGTCCTTTCAAGGTCAGAGTTTAAAAGTGATGTTGGCCGCGTTAACATGATGCATCATCACAAGAATAAACACGTCGTGAGTGTGTTTGGTTAGTAGAGATCTCATAAAAGGTTGCGTCATGTGGTTTTGGGCACGCTAGCGGGTTTGCACCGCTTATCTTCCTTGTCTTTGCAACCGCGTTTTGTGAGTTAAGTGGTGGACAGCCTAGCGATAGGACACGTGAGGAGCGTAACTGGATTTACGTCTCCCATGCAATGACAGTCTGTGTTCTCAGTTTCTAGTCATGGGCTTGTGGAGTCGTTCGTTCATCAGGTTGACGAGGACCGCTTGTAAACCATGGGCTTGTAAAGCACTAGTGAAAACACGTAATGATATTAGGTCGAGAAGTAGGCTACATCGGATGAGCAAGGCAAGGTTTACACAGTGCATGTTAGTGTCGGTGAGGCCTCACTTGAGCGTCCCTTACCACGTTTTAAGGCCGCAGAACACAGTATTTATGGACGACCCCGGGGGTCTATATGACGCGGATGCAGAAAGTAGTGCAGACAAATTCTTGAATCACTGTGTGGTATAGAAAGGTATCGGCTTGTACACCGTATGATTTGGATTGTGAAGACTTCCCCGCTCGGGTATAAATGCGCTGCATTACGCAACTGCGTACGCTCGGGAGATGCGTAATGAGGTCGAATAATAGCAGCTCACCTTACTGAGCGTTGGGGTGACCGATTGCATAAGAGGTACCGCGAGTTCGTATTGGAATTGAAACGGGTGACGATCTGTGGATGATTCCCACCACTTACTGAATAGCTCCGCAGGGAATTTCCTTTTCACGACGGAACTCCTAAATTTTCGTCTGGCTCCTTTATACGTACTGTATTATGTGATTTTCTTAGCCATAATGTTTATAAGACCTGATCAACTTCACGATGTTGAAATTGTTGAGATGGGCTCACCGCCTGGGCTCAACAGATCGTGACCCGACACACCAGATGGTGGCCGCTCTTATGTGAGTCAGAAACCATGGCTTCGTTGATATCCCAGCCAAGTTGTGCAAGTGCATTTCAAACCGTGGATAAAGTCAGCAAGAAGGCTTTGTGCATTGGCAAGAGATCAAGAATATCCCAGACAGTCCGAGGCCATAATACTGTTCCTTAGGGAGAACAAGAACGATGTAATCAAATTGTTATTAGGATCTCTATGCACGAATTGGGTATGGGAGGAAAAATTGAGAAAGGGGAAATTTTATACATTTGTTCGGGAATAAACATGTACACTGAATTGGAAGGATCACTCGTACAGGTCAGGAAGGGCTTTAGATCGGCACCACCTCATTGCTGAGCAGACGGCTATCAATTGTGAGGATGTTTTCTTTGGTCATGTGTACATTGAACCATGTATAAGGATGGGGAAAGTCGTGCACAATCAACCTCCATTTTAACGCTCTCTCTAATACCGTATTATAAGAGACGGGAAAGTTACGACGGGAGAAACGCTCCAAAGGTCTATTTCTGAGTGCGTCTTCGCCCGCCACGTGATCGGAACAGAGAGAGGCAGAGTGTGTGTTCATAAGGATGGTGATATGTTATGACATCCGTGCGCATAAGTGCTGAGGCCAGGAGAACATACAGTTCAGATAATAGCATAGGAAAGTAGTCATGCACCTAAGAGGTGTACCCGGGTGACGCTCAAAGGTGAGTTAAGATCAGGTCTTGGACGGAGAAACAAGCCCTGACAAGTATCAGCATTTGTGCCGCAGGTTGACACAGTGACACTCAGTTCTCTATCAACCCTTCGGATTATGCCCTCAATCGGGGAAAAAACGGTTGATTCTTACTCTTATGGAAAGTCGATGGGCACCAGCAACATGATGACGGATTTGGTTTTAGCTGGTATTCAAGGACTGTTTCGGACACGGTAGAAAAGGGTCGTACATATCAGTGAGTTTGAAATAAAATGTGTTCCCAGTCATTTCGTTATATGTCAGTTTTTGAATGTAGTAAGGGAGTTGATGAGTGTGGGGATATACTTCCGGATGGAAGTGTAGGAAAGGATAAGGTGACATGCCTTAGCGGGGACGAGGAGTAAGGACAGCGCGACGTAGGCACTGTCCCATAACTTATGCAGGATGATCCGATGATTGCGCAGTGTGATTAGTAACCTAATTACACTGCGCTCTCATTGGTCATCCGTAATAACCTAATTAACCAACCCCATATAAGGCATGCGCGCCTTATCACTTCATCCATTTCTTCGGAGACATCCGCAACACCGAAGAGCACGGTGGGGGCCGGCCCGTAGGTATGGGCAATGCGGGATTTCTAGAGCGAAGTCAGGGAAGATAGTCTTGGACGCTTCCCACCCCCCGCCCATCTCAGCAAATAATGCACATTTGCAGGGTCTAGGCTCCCTCCGCGCGACTTCGGCACTGTCCCATAACTTATGCAGGATGATCCGATGATTGCGCAGTGTGATTAGTAACCTTCTGCTCAAAGAACTGCGTCGTCCGCACATGAAAAAGGCTGGCTAGCCAAACCAGGCATGGGGGTATCCGGAAAAGCGGGGTGTGCATGGGAGTTTGGTCTCTAACAAATTCATTTGTCTTTGCAGCTGTGGGTAGGTTGTTTGTGGGTAGTGGGTGGTAATTACTGCTATTAACAATTCAAACAAGACCTAGTCAACTGTGTATTTATCTATAAAGAAAATTCAACTTACACAATAAGATGTACCAGAAATGTTTAAGTAGATAAAGCGGGAAAGAACACTGGTAGGATGGACCAGTCAATGGAAGGGTTCTGTTTGACACACGTACAACACAAATTCAAAACAGGTGACCCAAGGGAGATGATTTAAATGTTGAGCAACTTTGTAAGAGTTATATAGGCGGGCCCATGGGCGGGGCAAGGTTTTTGTGTGTATCTCCATTCCCTTACTGTCGTACCTAGGGTCCGGTGCAGACATTTGCATAATTTCGCCCAGACTACCCTACTAACATGTATCATTGTAATATTTGATGTCCACGTCTACCTAACCGTATGTACAGTATGATATTCCTTCACTGCAAAACTCCGCGTTTAACCGAGTACAGTAGGTGGTAACGCGATGCAGTCGCCTTGATTGAAATTTGTTTGTTTGGGTCTTCGTATTTGTAGGCCAGGCCCCGGTGTTGAGCCGAATCCTTGAGCTACCACATACGTGACACTGACAGGTCAGGTGTTTAGGACTAGGGTTAGGCTTGGTATTAGATTTAGGGTTAGGGTTGGGATCATATTGTTCAGAGCTAGGGTTAGACTTAAGATTTGGGTTAGGTTAGGTTTAGTCTCCCACATCACGACCAAACCCCTCCCACCCCTTGTCTCAGGTATATTAGAATCCCCCCCCCAAGTATTGCCGGAGTCATGAATTTGGCAGGATCGATATCATGTATATTGACACCGGGCGGACCGATTTTCAAGGCCGGACCAAAGGTTACCAAAGGGGCCAGGAAATTTTTATTTTTCTGTTATTATTCTATAGAATTTTTTTCCTGGGGCCAATTCAGGACAGATTTTGCCAGTTTTCTGCCAGGTAGACAAGAGGTGTGTTTACTTTTGAAATCTAGACAGAACTTGTGACCTGAGTGTCATATAGTGGTGTTATGTTACATCTTATGGGGCCATGTCACACCCCCTGAACCAGACGATTCCAAGCTGGAGGTTCAAAGGTCAGTGCTTGTTTTCATTCACCAGCTGATAGCGAGTTAAACTGGCCGAAGTCGAAGCGTTGGTTTTTTCACAAACGGTAAGTTGACATGTCTAGCTATCCAATGGCTGGGAGCTTTCGGAGCTCGAATTTGATGGTAAGTGTAGTTTGAAGCCTTGAATATGCCTGTTTTTGTACAGAAATCTATGCTGGCTGGAGATGGTGGACCCTCACCAATAGTCTGCATGGCCCGGTTACTCGGGGTCCGCTGTAGAGACATCTTTCTCAAAGGGGGACTACTCACGATTTGGGCGGCTAGATTGAGCGACTTCGTGCCCGTACAGCGAACACTACCCAGGTCCTCAGTGTTCGATACGGGCGTAGGAGAACCGATACCTGACCCGGTAAGATTCCTTCAGAAAAATGGCGCCCAGTTCCTAGTATACAGCTTTGACTTTGACCAGAGAGTGCTTGGGTTTGTTAAAGTGAGGGAAGGGATCGACATCAGGAAGGCGCCATTTTTATATCAGGTACGTGCAACAACACAGTGGTGACGTAATCGTTTATATCGTAACGAGAATGATTTAGATAGTTATCCTACCACTAGGGGTCAACGACCTTATTTACACAAACAAGAAGTTTGGCAGGTCAAATACTGAGACGCCCCCTATCTGGAGACTGACTAGCACTCGTTTAACAACTTTTTGGCGACGCCTTGGGCGGAGCCTTTTAGTATATTATGCGTCTGCGTCCATTTATTTTATTTATTGGTTGATTTGTATCAACATATCTCGCAGCCATGAGATACAGGACTGAATTCTGATCAAGTTGTTTACAATATACATTATTAATGGTAGGGAAATACAAATTACAATCATATCGGAATCTACGGGTCAATATATCACTTTGGTTCGAAAATTAGGTATTTACAATCTTACAATCGTACAAACTATGACAATCTTACGTCGTACAAACTTTATAACACTTAAGTTTTAACATATATGTAGAAGATTAGTCATAATAAATAAATAAATAAATCATCGTTATGAATCAATTCCTGTGTCACAATAAGGTAGCGGTCAGTGGAACTTGTAGTGCAATTACATATTTGTGCTGTTTAGGAGGGATACCATGTAAGGGATGGGGCTTTTTTGTATCTGTCAGTCCTAGTTGTGATAGTGTCTATGGGCTGAGAAGTTCTCGTTTGTCTGCCGCGGAAAGGTGGAAGCCAGTTTCTGAATTTTACAGATGTCACAAGTTGTCTGGCAAACTTATAACACAGGTCGCGGCGGCGACTGCCATGGGTTGGTAAGTCGTGTCCGGCAGGCCTCAGTGTAGCATGTATAATCGGAGCCAAGGATTGGCCGGCAGGCCTGTTTTTGAATAGTTTCAATCCTTCCGCGTTGTTGTGTAGTTAAACCTGCGTGCCAAGCTGGTGCAGCGTACTTAACAGTAGGACGGACGAGATATTTCCATATCGAGAACGAGAACATCAACTGGTATATTATAATATAATATGTGCCGTTCTTGTTTTACTCCAGGCACAACGTGCAAACGCAGAGGAACTGTTGCTCCTTCCCTTCGATATACTTCCAGCAGTGGCGGACGGTTTGGAGAAAACTCAGTTAGCCGTTAAAAACATATGCCTCTACAATACTGGTAAGAAATGGTTACCTTCGCACTAGTTATATACATACTGGTTTTATGCATTTCACAAAACCTTCAAAACTTCTAGTAACAAAAATTACCGCACGAAAATAGCCATGGTTGAAGTACGTTTATCTCATAGGTATACATACGGATGTCTTAATGAATATTAGTATACATAGCCAGAAGACGTCGACCAATCAGAAGGCTCTATTTCCCATTAATTATCAGGCCGTAACCTCAAAAGTAGTCGGTTATTTGGATAAGGGACCACTTTTTGGACCGTACCATTATACGGGTGACAGGACACTAAAACTAGTATTAAGGTCTGTGGTGTTTATCTATTAAAGGTAGTGAAGCTCATTTTGAAAAATGTATTTGAAAATACAACACAGTTGAAAAGATATGAATGACATTTAAACAGAAAAACACTAAATATAATTTTTAAAATCCCCCACTAACATTGGTACTAACATTGGTTCTAATGTCACATGGTCACCGCAGATGATTACATACTTACTATAGATTATCTGTTTTTCTGTCTTGTTTCACGTAGCATAGAATGTGAACGTTTTTTTCAGGAAGGGGATATCATATAAAGGATTTGTATCAAATAACGTTAATGCCCCACCTTATCCTCGGTGTATATGGCAGGGCTACGCTCACTCGGTGGTTTATTCGGTGGTTATCGCACCTGACCACGGATTATCTCACCATATACAACTCGGGACGGGCTTTAACCCTTCATTAAGTTTCTATTATTTAAACATTACGGAAATTATTTACAGAAGATGTTTTAGGGTCGGCTTGTACACTGTTTAACAGATCCTTCGGACTGCCATTTCTCATTTGGCGTCTAATATTAAACGATGAATTCATCAATCATCAATAGCAGTACGTCAAAAGAAATGACAGACTACTGTCTAACGTGTTCAACGTAACGATTGTAACAATGTGTACTGTTATAAATTGTCATAAAGTGTTGAATCGTATACCGTTGTCCTATCATAGGACGGTGTGGGTCCACTTTGATGTGCAAAGCTTTGGACGTGATCAGTGAGGTACAGGCCGTGTCAGAACCTGACGTCTTCCAGGTTATCATTGAGGTAAGATCATTTAACATCACAGGTTACAATCAGACGTACGGTCACAGGTGAAAGATAATTACTCAAAGCTAACGTGTCATTTAAGAATTTGCTACACCGATATTCTTATGCGACATCGATTTGCACACGTTAACGGAGAATGGATGAAAAAGGGAGGAATGAAAAATGAAGGTACTGTTTTTGTTCTGTCTGCGTGTGTGCCTGTGTGTCTATTTGCAGGTATGTCTGTGTGTCCTCATATTTGTGGCAAGTATATAAAGTCATTCAGGATTGTGGCGATATTTGGTATGTTGGTAGGACTTGGTAGCCCTCTCAGGCTATTACCCTTTATCTCTTTTGGGATGTATTTCTGTAAATTAGAAATTATAATTTCTAATAGAGGGGAGAAATCACACAAACATATTTCCAAGTAGGGAAAGCAACATCTCTAGCTCTGTTCTTAAGTAAGTTTGACTCGTTATCATAATGTTGTTTAGACTTTTGAAATTTGTTTTTGTTTTACTAAAAGGTATCATTTTCTATGTGTTGCATGTTTTAAGTCAAATTGTTATCAACTGCGATTAATGAATTGGTTCCAAGCGCATTTTCGTAATCTGTATGGATTTTTGCTTCTGTTAAGTAATTTTATGTCAATCTATCTTAATTACAACACCTGTGTCATGCATGTCTAATATATTTTTTTGCTTTGAAAACTTAACAAAAAGAACGTGGAAAAAACGTTTTAATGTGTATTTTTAGCGTGTTTGCAAAAAGGATGTCCCCTTAAGTTCTGACGAGAGGAACGAGATCATCAAATTGCTGAAGTGCAGTGTCATCCTGCTCAACTTCTACTTCCAACAGAAGGATCCGTCAAGAAAAGTCATCTGCTACAAGTTACGAAGCGATGCCATTTTCATCGCCGACCTCATCCAAAAAGCTGCTCCAATGGCTAAAACCATCTTTATGTACAGGGATCTTCCCGGCTTCTATGACTCTTGTCTTAATCTGAGATTTAATGGTAGCTATTGGCGCTACTTTGTTGAGACCACGTTAAGGTTAGATGTTTTCTCTCGAGTTCCAGTGCTGAAAACCGATTTACCAATCTTCAAATACGCTAGTGAACATCCTAGCATGATCGAATGCCCTGTTACCCACGGCGTGCCTTTTCTCTATGTATCACTTTGGATTCTACAGATGCAAAAAGCTTTTGATCTAATTCAAGAAGATTCCGAAAACTTCTTCCATGAGTGTCTCACCTTCAAACAGCTCTTAGCATACAAAGAACGAATAATCCTCAAGGTTCTAGAGAAACTTGATGTGTATGTTCCATCTGATGTTAACAGTTATAAGATCAGAGATGTTTTTGGTGTTGATAGTCAGCAAGGAAGCGTTATGCAGAGCGGAAGAAGGCAGGGAAATAGTGGAAGATCATGGGTGGGAACATGGGAGAAGAATCTGTTCTCAACTACTCTGGAACATTATAACGGGGATGTCGATGTACCAGATTTTGTACTGCCAAACACCGTGATCATGGAGTAACATCTTCCACTATCCCAGTGCCGTAGAGTACGCACCTAATAACTATATTAAATGTGTGGTTACATGAGGCCACAGCAAATAATTTTCATGGATGACATCAGCGTGCGCATTGATTTTCGCCTGATTTTGAAAAAAAAACGAATTTTGTTGCCCTTTGACAGTTGTCAGCATGCCGAAAATAGGCAAAATGACATGTCGTACCATGCTGGAACGTGTATGGTAGATAAACATGAAGAGAAGAGACAAGACAAGACTCTGATTTATTGTTTTAACGTTTACTTTGATGCAGTCAATGATGTATATCTTTCCTTTAATATGTTTCCACTGAATCAAAACCATTTGTACAATGATTGAAAACTTTTTTTCAAAGTTGTTTCAGTGACAAATGGGCGTTGTGATAGTTGGCAGTGAAGTTAGCACAATATAGGTGTCATTTCTTGTTTAACAGCGGGGGGTTTATGATGTCAAAATTTGAAAATATAGGAATCTTGTTTTATAGGGCCTGTCTTATTTTTTTCGCCCTCTTGCAATAGTTTTATAGTCCGCGAATGATGCCATCCATAAAATTTACTTGCTGTGGCCTAAAGTGTTGTACAGGAACTTTATACACAACAATTTCAGCCAGTCACTCTCATAGTTAATTACTTTGTTGTGATTTTATTGCTTGATTTTGCCTCCAGTATTCTGTATATGTAGATAGGCAGATCTGTCACCAACATGAGACGTTGTGGAGCACACATTGGAGAAGGGAACTTCTTCATCTGTTTACTCATCCGGAGAGGATGCCTGTAGTGGAGCAAAAATACCTCAAATTAAGTGAATATGCGTCTTGCATACTCAAGAAAGAACTTAATACATCCGCACTACTTTCTTGTTACCAGGCATGAACTGTCACCTAAGTGCTCATCAACATTCCGGTAGGTTATACCAATCACAATCTATACGTTTGTATCACTCCGCCGACATAGTTTGACAAGGTCATAATATTTCTTTTTTTGCAGCCAGCTTACTATGATCTGTGTTGTTCGTGCTCTAAACGTCGAAGATAGAGACAACTGATGGGGCTAAATTTTTGAATGTCTGTTGGAACAACTGTCTCCTGTATTGACTTTGTGGTACCACATGTCTCTAGTTATAATATACTATGCCTGCGTCGTTACTATTCATATATGTGAAACAGTGTGAATAAAAAGAGATTTTAAAGGTCGCCGTTTCAGACCCCATGATGGGCACATTTCATAGAATGTCCAAATATCTGCGCAACGAAGAGTGTGTCATCTCCACAAATTAAACTCGTGAGCACTTTCACAAACGTGATTTGCAAAAGGAAGGGCTATGTACTTGTTACCTCCGGGGAAGGAGACATCCTTCCGCGGAAGGGTTTTGTGAGAGATTTAGATTTTCATGTTCGCAGCTGTTTCTCGCGTTTGGGTGGACGGATTCTTTTGAGACTCGGTATATGTTTTTCTATTGGGCTGCAGATAATGCAAGTTCTTTTGTTTTTATTGTATATGTGTTTTTGGGCGTAAAAATGGTGCCTTTTGGTGGCCCCAGAACACCCCTTTGAGCGTGAACGTGGTCGTGACAGTTGACCTTTGGCGTGTATTAGGTATTGTCGGTCTCGTCCACGAAGGTGACCCATCGCACAGAGGGGTGTCCGGTCGTGATAAATTCTTTGTTTAAACCCCTAGTCCTGCGGTGCGCAACAATTGTTGTTGTAAACAACATATAAAAATATACTAACAATAAAAAGCACGTAGGTATAAAATGTCAGATTTTACTTGTTAGATATTTAAAGGTTAATGACCCACCCGCTCATACTTACACGAGCAGTTTGTAGTTACGATATGCCCGTCCTGTGTACAGTATGTACCGTAGGTACACCCGCACTGGTCCGTACCCTCACTGATGGTAGAGCCGAGCGGGTAAAAACTGCCTCCATATTGGCAACCTGGCTTCGGAACTTCGGAACAGAATACATGTACATGATCATTGCTATGTACGGCATTATGTAGTGCGATGATGAAGTTGTACGGTTTAGATCAATTGAGACATTTTTTATCCGCAAAAAGCAAGGAGCTTTATCTACAAAACGCTTAAATTGTTGTTCAAACAACATGTTGACATGCTACATTAATAATTTCTGTCAAGGTCACACATATAGTTTTTAATTCAATAAGATTCCCTTATTTAATAAGATTCTATGAGAAGTTTTTAGACTTAAAGATGTGCGTGAAGCAAAAAATATTCTACATATTCGATCAGCACACATATGTGATTTTAAGATGAAATTGGGTTACAGAGTATTTCCTACTCCACTGCACACAAAAAAGAAATCAAAACAAACAATAATTGTATCAAAAGTATCATTTAATGCTCAACGTGTAACGATTACTAATATTCTATTATTTCCAATGCCCTTGCAGTTAGCCCTCGAGCATGAATCTGCAATAAAGTAATAATATATTCTTACGTAACTTACCAACAATACAGAGTGCCTGTCCAAATTCACACAGACACTGCCTTCCCGAGCTGTCCGTGTAAGAGTCACCGTGGTCAATGACGTTTCCCTCGTAAACACAGCCTATAAAATACAGCAGAAAATACGTTACTAAAAAGGTAATGCTCTGGGCTCACCATTGTATCTGTAATCGTTCAGTTGCTTCTGTTTTTACAGCACAAAATACGGCACTAAAAATATCATGCTCTGGGCCCACCACTGTATCTGTAATATTTCAATTGCTTCAGTTTTTACAGCACAAAATACGGCACTAAAGACATCATGCTCTGGGCCAGCAAATGTATGTGTAATCATTTAGTTGCTGCAGTTTTCGTGTTCTACTCCCTTCCCATGGAAAAAAAAAGTACGTCGGCAGAACGAACTGCGCCTGCACGAAACCCTAATTTCTCGCAATTTTCGTTGGATGTTTGTTCAACGTTGCATCAGAAGATATCTTTTGCAACACAACATTCGGAAACTACGTATACAAACCGGATGTTAACCTTATATGCGCGAATACGACCTCATACGAAACGTTCTGCTGAAGTGTTATGCATAATACATTACGGGTTTTACGTAGGTGCAGTACGTTCTGCCGACGAGCCCAAAAATTCACATGGCTACATATGTGTCGATTCGTATATTATGCTTGGTTTTCTTTTCTTCAACCAGAGAAATACTATCTTCATCTCGAGGGTACATGGCTTACTTTTTTTTTAATCCAACGAAAGATTTGACCAGTGCGCCATATGTTGGGAAGTCCAACGCCATGTCCTGAGGAACAAAAATTGTCTTTACAAAAACCAGTCTTTATTTTCTTGGAGTTTTGAGCCATACTTACAGTGTTGGAAGCAGTCCCCATGGATTACACCGTAGTCCTCGTCACAGTATGTGCCGTACGTACACCCGCACTGGTCTGTACCCTCACTGATGGTGGATCCGGCCGGGTAAAAGTTGCCTCCATATTGGCAACCTGAGTATATGAGACAGTGTTTCTCTTCAGAACAGACTACATGTACATGGTCGGCGTTGTACTAGCCTCCGTAGCAGGCTTGTAGAACCGAGGGTTTGGTGGTCTTCGGCTGTTTTCTGATTAGGCCAGTACAAGAAACGGGGGGTAATTCAACCAGGCCGGCTATGTTGTCTATATGTAATCAGAAAATAGCACATAAAGCTCCCTGCAAAGACCATGAAGACCCCCCTCCCCGGGTTTTGGTATGCTATGGAGGCGTAGCGTTGTACGGCGTTGTGCTGTACGATGATGAAGTTGTACAGTTTAGATGAACTCAGACATCTGCCAAAACCCTAGGAGAATATCTATAAACGTTTAAATTGTTGTTCAAACAACATGTCGACATGATACATCAATCAGTTCTGTCCAGGTCACAAACATACATTGTTTTAACTGATGAGGAGATACGGCAATGTTCAGCTTCGAGAACTGACTCTGTATATCTGTCCTTGTTAAAGTCCAGGATTTAAATTTGCTGCTGAAATTATATTCGGGTATACATCAGACTAAGGGAAACAACAATATGGGATGTATAGTAGCCCAAAGTACGCATGGAGTTGACTACAATCTATAAAATTCTCAAAACAACTTCAGATTACCCAGATCTAAGACGAACAGTAAGAAACGTTCATTATTCCTGTATCGTGCAATATTGCTGTGGAACAACTTACCATATCATGTTAAAACACTGAGTAACCTACTCAGGTTCAAAAGAGCTATCACAAACAGTGTTACATGAGCCTCAACCTCTAGTTTTTAAATTGTGAATATCGATTTGCGTGTTCCTAATTGTTGATGTTCTGATGTATTTACGTCTTTTTAAATGTATTTACTGTATTTTCACTGTATTTTCCATGTATGTAATTATGTAATTTTAATGTTTGAGCCTTGAAAGACTAGACTTGCAGGGCTAAAAGGCTTCGAAATGAATAATATGAAATATAACATCACTTGTACCTATTTGGGATGGCGTTACTTGTTGAGGCCGCTGCCGCGGTGCACTCCATGAGCACACCACCAGGGATAGAAGAAGCAGCACTCTCATTGTCGGCTTGGATAAGGCTTGACTGACCAAGCAATGGCGTGGCTGATTTCTGAACATATGTATAGTCATATACTATAGTGTTAGCTTTTCACATCCGTTATGACGTCTTGGGATGGACTAAACCACTGTTGGATGAAGAATTATTTCATACAACACGCAAAAAACAGGATCCAGCCTGTGCATACTTTGTTATACCAAAATGAAACAACAACGGGACAGGATAAATGTGTTTAAAAGCAGAGAATATATATCTGCAGTCCATTCTACTTACAGGGTTCAATGCACATGCTGTAGCTTTCAAAGCCGTCTGCCGTTTTTTCGTGACTACGATAAGTTTAATGTTCATATCTATAACTGGTACTGTGCAAATCGCGGGGAAGGTTGTGGCGTTAAAGGGCACACGTACCCAGCCACCCCGCCCAGCTGCACACTCACACAGGCTCCCACATGACGACAGACTGGCCGGAAAAAGAAATAAGGCCACAGCAACTAATATTTATGGATGACATCAACGCGCGTATTAATTTGCGCCTTATTTTGGAAAAAAAAACAAGAAATTTTGTAGCCTTCTGACAGTGGTCAACATGCCGAAAATGGGCAAAGATGTCTGTTGCCATGCCGGAAGGTGGATGGCAGATAAATATGAAGAGAGGAGACAAGAAAAGTCTCTGATTTGTTGTTTTGTTTTTTACTTACTTTGATGCAGTGATATGTGATGCTGGCTGTGTATATGTGATGTTCCCACTGAATCAAAACCATTTGTACAATGATTGAGTCAAAATTGTACAATGTAGGAACCTTGTTATTTTCGGCCCGCCTTGTTTTTTTTTTCGCCCGCTCGCATTAGATATGGAGTCTGTGGAGGATGTCATCCATAAAATTTACTTGCTGTGGCCTAATCCAAACATCTACTGACGTTTCTGCTCAAATACATTATATATAGTAGGTTGATAGTACTGTATTGATAGTAATGTTTAACTAGTAGATCATACTTGGACAAGGGAATGGGCCAATGGGGTCATTAGGCATACATATAGCTTGTTCGGTAATAGATTGAACCTAAGTGTCCATCACAATAGCAGGTAACCAATGATAGCACGGCAATTAGCGGTTCACCCAATGATAGAGTGACTGCATAACGGTCGAACATTTGAATTCTTATGTACGTTTTTATTTTGTAGTTTAACGTTTTGACGGAGGTGGGTGCGACTATGGGATGGGATCAGTCTATACGGAAGCTCATGCGCATCACCTTCTTCGATTTCCTCACCAATACTGGCAAATACAAAATTATATGCAATTGTTACATTATGTGAACACCTCCCTTGCAATGTATACTATATAAGTCTATATTTCCCTGTGTGTATCACACTCACGGAGCTCGTAGTGCAGTATTATTCATTACCATGTACCAACGAACACCGGGGCATGCTCCTCGCGACTTGGAACCTAGAGGTCCCGTGTTCGAGTCCTGACATGCCACCGATCATGTGCCCTTGGGAAAGGCACTTTATACGACTTTCCTCACTTAACTCAGGTGAAAATGAGTATTGTCCTGTCATGTATGTGTCCCCTGCGTTGGTGGCGGCATGAATATAAGTTGAAAAACTTGGGTGTGCCGTCACCACGTCATGTTGGAATAAAATAAAAATAAAAACACATGTACATATTTCCCTTGGTTTCGTGTGCCCAATTTTCAAAATGGTGACAAAAAAATAAAACTGGCCGATTTAAACAAGCAGCCTATAATTACAGACCATGAAAACACTTCTACCTAGCCGCCCACTGCGACAGAAGGAAAGAAACTCAGTTAGGTTAAGTCAATTTTGACCCTCCAGCCTAATTAACTCCTGACCCAACTTTCATGCGTAATTCACAATTTCCTGATGTTTTCTGTCCAAAATTGCTGACATGTTTTGATGATGCATATTGTTAAGATATAATCTGACCACATTTGTTTCACATATACCTTATCCATATCTCAATATTAATATAATAAGCACTTGTCAATTTAGCTACCTTTAAACACCTCGTGCTTCGCACAGACATACTTTTTAAAGATAAATTTGGTATGTACGCATTCAGCAAAGAAAACTCTACAACATCCCGTTGAGGCTGTGTCTAGAACTATAACTAGAACAAAGATTTTTTCATATTATATAAAAAAATTGACAAGAATATGCCATTGGAAATATTCATGAAGGCATAGCTGAGCACTGGAATCCTCCAAGATAATGGTCTCAACGAGAGATTGTTGTACAACTTGTCTTCTTTCCAACCATCTTTGTTGTAAGTTAGAATAATATAATCTGAGCAAGCACCACTTGATTAAAAAATCGACTATAAAATGTAGACTTTTGGCATCCCTAGATGTGAAATATGACCTCTTTGTTGTTATTTGGGAACAATATGGCTAATCAATTTGTTGACATAGCACCTCACGGTAGGAGAGCAGACTACCTGGGCAGAACAATGGCCTGGCTGTTCACACCTTTACCCGGCGGTAGCTTACCTGCCAGACACAGCTTGGCTTGGTTTTAAAAACAATACACAAACATGTTCACAAGTATGGGAGGTGTATAAACAATTCTCTTTATCTTATCAGAAGTTTTCAAGTGCAACATACATACACATGTGGTTTCCATAAAAATTAACATGGTCATACCTATCATAAAATGTGACTTTTCAAATAACAGCAGTGCCTTTGGGGGGAAAAAAACTAAGCAAAACGTACATGTGTATCCACAACTCTCAACAAAAGAGACAAAACCAGACAGTCAATCATCAGGCAGTTGACCTCGCCTGATACATATGTTTCAAAGTTTCTGAGTCAGCGCAACAGAATTGGGCTAAGTTGAAATTGCTCCCCTGGTCGTTAATATTTTCTACCAGCAAGGGTACAAATTCATCACAGTTTGATTCGAGTCTTGAATCACACTGTAGTAATACGCAGGGCCAGGGCCTTGATTGTAGTGAGGGAATCTCTACATTATTCACAATTCTAAGTTACAATTATAACGTTACTGGTTTGCCGGATGGGAAGCTCAGTTTCTGCAAGGAGGTAAAAAAAAATCTGATTTGATTTTCTACATTTATGGTTTCTGTAATTTACCTGGAAGTCTTGCAAAATTATGTCTTATGCCAGGCTACAAGCCTATGATATTTATATAATATTACAACAGCTGAGGCTCTGTATGGATCTATAATAATGTGCCTTTCTGTATGTCGAAATGTTGATCTATCAAAGTTAAACATTTGAAATAGTTTATAGACACAGGAAAACGTTTTGAAGTGGCATTGTTAATTCCTTACAATACACATCCTAGCTTGGTTTTCTTGACAGCCAAGCACCAAGGCCGTTCACACTCCACAGGGTGCCAGGTAGCATCCAGCGGCACCCTACCTAAGAAGTTTTCACACTGGGTGGAGAGGGGGCAATTATCGAACAATGGGGAAAAATTGTGAAAATTGCGGTCAAAGGTGGTTGCTATGTGTTGCTAAGGGGAGCCAACGCCCATTTCACTGGGGGCCCAGAAAATGACTTAACCCTACTGAGAATACTCCAGATGCGATATTGTCTGTTGCCAGTTACTTTTATTGTCAGTAATGTCGGTCTCTTCACGTGGGAGGGCAGGTTTCCCCCAAGCCGACAAGACAGCTGAATTTCTCTGTCACTTTAGACACCTGCAATGGACGATATCATATTTGTTAACGCTATATACTAGATCCATTAACGCTTTCAGATCTGTAACATAGAATAGACTTAATCTTAAAGTAACCTTCAATAGCAGTGCCTTGCATTGTTTTGTTGTACAAAGTGACAAGTTTCCCATCAAGCTACTTTCGAGCCGTGCCCGGAAATTCGTGCCGTACCCGTTAAAAATGCTGGCTTAAATTTCGAGCCGCACTCGGAAAATTCCTGCCGTGCCGTGTACTTTTTTGCCGTACCAAGGACGTTGAAGTTCAAATTCTGTAAACGTTTTTGGTCGTTCCAATAGCCCCGGTGCGTAGTCACTCGAAAGGCCCGTCTCTTGGCGTCGGTGGCGCAACGGTTAAAGCGTTGGACTCGGAACCGAGAGGTCCCGGGTTCGATACTCACCGGGGCCCGACGTTGTGCCCTTGCGAAAGGCACTTTACAGGACTTCCCCACCTATACGGTGGAGTGACACCCACCGAGCCTCTTAGGCTAATCTGTCTGAGTGCCAAAAACACCCTACGGATTTGGTGCGCCGATGTGACAGCATCTGCACATTGCCCAATGAGAGCCGTTAATTTTTTTTTAACGGCGGACATCGGTCGGCCACGGTGCGTAGTCAATCGAAAGGCCCGTCTCAATACCCTGTACGGCAATAATACACAAACTCACATAGCCTAATGCTCTGGCAAATATTCCTGGCCACCTCTCTGTGGAGGGGCATCTTACGAATCGCGCCCAGTCTTGAGAGCACTTCGGCCGCTGATCTGTTCTGAGAAGCGGTCCGGATTGTTCGAGTGGAGTGTTCGAGATGGCCGAAGTGTTCTCAAGACTGGGCGCGATTTTTACGATGCCACTCCGCAGAGAGGAGGAATATTTGCCAGATCATAGGCTATATTAGCTTGCGAATCGTCGCCGTACAGGGTATTCTATATAGACACGACTTTCGAGTGACTACGCACACCGTGGCGGGGCCGAGCGATGTCCGTCATATTGCGTACGGCAGAAAAGTACTGGGTACGGCAGGAATAACCGGATAAGGCTTGAAATTTTAGCCGGTACCCCACGAATTTCCCGGTACGCCAGCATTTTATAGCCTGTACCACACGTATTTCCCGTTAGGGCCAGCATTTTATAGCCGGTACCGCACGGATTTCACGGTACGGCCAGCATTTTATAGCCGGTACCGCACGAATTTTCCGGTACCGCCAGCATTTTATAGCTGGTACCGCACGAATTTCCCGGTACGGCCAGCATTTTATAGCCGGTACCGCACGAATTTCCCAGTACGGCCAGCATTTTATAGCCGGTACCGCACGAATTTCCCAGTACGGCCAGCATTTTATAGCCGGTACCGCACGAATTTTCCGGTACGGCCAGCATTTTATAGCCGGTACCGCACGAATTTCCCAGTACGGCCAGCATTTTATAGCCGGTACCGCACGAATTTCCCGGTACGGCCAGCATTATAGCCGGTACCGCACGAATTTTTGGGAGTTTGATGGCGGCGCATGCTATTGAAGAAGACCAGATTGACTGATCGAAAGCTTTAGGTGAGAACAATTTCTGTATGTTGGATCACATCAAAAGTTACGGAATTGTGTACATACATTGTGTACATACAATTTACCTAGTAACTTGTGTACATGTACGTCACAATCCTACCTTCCAAAATTTGTTTACAGAGTACTAATCGACCGATACTTACAGACATTAATAAAAGCATTCGGCGCTGTCCCCGACGGTTATACCTCCGCCATGGGAGCAGGACACTGATGTAGTACATCCATCGCTGTAAGTATTCGAGCTGATTAAGGAACCCGGCGGGTAATAGTTGCCTCCATACATACACCAATCGTGGAATAACCCGCAGCTTACTTGTTGGTATATGCAGTAACATATGTCTCCGCCGTCCATGAAAAACGAGTCGTGACTAACGACAGACCCGTTGTGAACGCAGTCGCCTGTACAATGCAAGTGGAGAAGAAACGATTTTAAACGAATCAAACGGATTACACTTGAAATCTCCCTTCGGAGAAATGTCACCGATAAATATATATATATTAATAGGACCTTTGGTACATACAAAAATACATCACATGTATACATACAGTTTGCTATCCCAAGAATTTGTCATTTTTATTAGCCATGTATGGTATGTTATTACTATTAGCCATGTATGCTATTTGGACGGATCCTGATGTATGACATCAATGTTACTCACAGACAAACCAGAAAATAGATAAGGCCATGTTGATTTGATTATATGCTGGATGCCATGAAATTTCGTCGAAAAAAAGTTTTCGACCAAACTGTACATCGTACAAAGTACATGTACCTTCAAAATGAGCAAATGTATGCCGTAAATTGCCATCGTAGAATGCTCAAATAAATTACAAAGGATAAGAAAAAAATGTGAAGAAATGAACACGAAGAAACTATCAATCGCCAAACCATGCACGGTTTATTTAGTAATTTGTTAAACCTCCATGACTTCGTAGATTTCAAAATGAAGGCAACTTTTTTGGCAACTTATTCACACGCTCGCGTTAGTTTTGGGGCTCCCAGTGGATGTCATCCATATAATCAAAACAACATGGCCAAAATAAAAAAAAAGATATCCAATCATCTCTTTACTAGACCTATGGCATGCATGCCCGTAGCCAGGGGGGTTCGGAAGAACACCCCCCCCCCCCACAAGCCTCAAAGGTCCACTTTTTGGCCCACATTTATGTAAAGGTCCACTTTTTGGTCCACTTTTTTATGTAAAGGTCCAAGATTTTTCTTGAAAAGATGGACTGGAATCGTAAAAAAAACTGCTCCATTTGTCATTGAAAAAAAATTTATCTCTGATTTTTTCTCGGAAATCCTCTCAAAAACGCACGAAATGCCATTTTAGAAGGTTCGTTTGTCAAAATTTTCCGGGGGAACATACCCCCGGACCCCCTAGGAACCTCGCGCCTTCGCCGCTCGCCTCGCGCCTACGGCGCTCGAGGTCCCCTCAAGCAGTGGGAAGAACCTCCCCCCCCCTCTATTCAAAATCCTGGCTACGGGCATGTATGGTATAATAATAATACCTGTTGTTTTGGATTCCCTCGGTTTTGGCCCACTTGGGGCACACCAGGCGCACGCCACCAAGGACAGGAGAAACAGAACCTTCATTGTCTCCCCACGATTGGAACTAGCTCTGCCTGAGTAAAATTTCTGGCTGATATTTGAACTTAACGTTTTATTTGCTTTTATGTCTTCATATCCGTTATGACGTCTTATGTTGGACTGAACCACTGCTGGTGGAGAATGATGGCAAAACGCACATAACTAGTTAATACACTCTATGTGAGTGCTATATATAATACATCTAACTTATTTGAGATCTCTGATAAGTTACATGTACTACAGCGCTCATATAGAATGTGCACACTATTTCTGTGCGTTTTGCCATTATGCAAGAAAATAAGGTGTGCCCTATAGAACAAGCCTTATTTTATGGTTGGCTCATGATATCAACGTTAGGCCACACCAAGTAAATTTTATGGATGACGTCCTTTGGAGACCCTAAATCTAATGCTAGAGGGCGAAAAACAAACAAGAAGGGCCCTAAAAAACAAGATGCCTAGATTAGAAATATACTAAGAGACGACAAATGTTCGCACACAAATTGAATGAGGTGACACAGTGTAACAAGCAACAAGTCTTATTCATCATCAAAACAGCAATAAATGAGGTGGAACAGTGGACAGTGAAAATTTTTCTGTTATTGACAGGATTGTCCTGTCAATAGTGCACATTTTCTGTTATTGACAGGATGGTCCTGTCAATAGACACTTTCTTCGCGCTACGGGTTTCACATCAATCTGGTGATTTGCGGCGCTGTCATGACTCTTTGGTCATAGTTACAGGAAGCGGAATTTCTTGGTTTTTTTTTCTAGGAACAGGCCAAAATCAATGCGCGCGTGGACGTCATCCATAAGATTTACTTGGTGTGGCCTTAGCCCGTGACGTGCCACGTCCATTTACATGGCTACTGTTGATATAACATTGTTATCTATCTACGGAGGCGTGTATATTGCGCAGCCGATTGTGCGTGGGAGGGGATGTAGATTGTTCCTTCCGTCCCAGCTGTGCATACATACACTTTCCGTATGACGTAAGGCTGTGACCATAACCTTAGAATGTCAAGAATACGAGATATCAAAACCCTACGCTTTGATGCACCAAGGAAAGCCAAGGGTTCCAAAATTGAATAATTTATTCCATACCTACACACCTACTACGTTTAATGATAATGCAGTGAATGAACCCCGGCCCTAGCTTTCTTGAATCATCATGCTACACCACACCCAAACATATATACAAAGCCATCACCTTCTAATAGGTAAATCTATAGATAGTTACATTGCCCATTTCAAGTAATAGGGCAGTGGCTTGTTAACTCTATCTAGACCGGGGGGTGGGGCGGGGGAGTGGTGGGGCTGGGGCTTAAAGTGCCCGCGCCAACTTTGATTTCGGATAGCGTCCGAACGGATCGAATCGTTGTCTGGAACATTTTGAAGCCCGGGCCGTACCGCTAGTTATCACACGAGATGGAACACCTGTATCGAACGTTATCGCGGCCCAGGTATGAAATTATTTATTTGCTATGACCCGTACCTAACCCCTTGAATAAACGTGGGCATGCACAGCAAATGTCTTTAATCATCTATTCATCCATCCATTCATCCATTTATTCCTTCATACATTGTATGTATACATTTCAAACGTTATCTTTTTATGGTGATAACAAAGCACTTAGTTGCTAGGTGGCCTTAGTCAGACAGCTTCACTCAAAAGCCTGGACTGTGCCCCTCCAACGTCGCTGCCAACAATTATGTGCTAATTGCTTCAGTTACAAACACATTGACGTTTTAGATTCGTTGGGTTGGCTAAAAGGAAATTTGTCACCAAAATGAACATATTTTCCTGCCGCCGTTTCTTTTGGGTCGGCACTAGTTTGTGTCCACTTGGAGTAATACATAAATGAGACATCAAAGCACCATTACCGAAGGTTATACAAATTTTCTTCAAATCAAATTTGAGATTAGCTTCCAAGGTATGCTCTACAGATATCATGTTTTGAACATTTAACCGATTGTGAAGAAATTTGCTGTATCAGTGCAGATTTAAATATAATCTTTAGTTGAGCCCATGAAGCAAAATTTCCCTACATGCTTGAATTATGAATTACGGGTAGTATCAATATCAGAAGATATAAAAAACCCATATTAAGACCCATCTTATTGTAAAAAGATGTTATAGGTGTACCTAAGTTGAAGACGTACTTTGTTTTGTATTTTCAATTGTTAGTTGATCATGCGAAAGTCACTACGACTAAATAATAATCGCATAATACCCACAGCTAACAAAAAAACTAAACCATTAACATAGTAAGAAACTGGTGGTCAGTCAGGAGGCAAATAATTTTAATTGTAACTAATGCTGATTAAGATATGCACATGTGATTCTCTAAGAATGTGTATCAGCATTCTTAAGTATTAACGTTAGTTAGTAACTTAACAGAATCATCATGTCTTTTAATTGTAGATAAATGGCATTGTTTTGTAAATTAATTAAAGGTAAATTTCACAATGTGCTTTTATCGATATGCCAAAGTTACTAAGAGTCACTTACAATTTCATTATATGCCAATGTTGGTCGCTAATAATTTTAAAACGTATTTCAGTCGTTTATTAGAGGGTGCCTGCAAGTATAGGCATGCGCTTATGATATATGAATGATTTATAGCACGTAATAACTTATTATGTATTTAATTCATATACAGCTGCAGCTCAAGCCATCGCATCCACTGTGAGTTGATTAAGTAAACTCAAACTTAAGTGAGTTACCTTATTAGACTATTTGGCCACCAGGCAAGTCATGTTTCTACTCACCGTTTGTACATTCAATGGTGTATTTTTACCTTTCTAGCTGCGTATCTAACAAAGCAACTTTTAGAATGCCGCCAAACTGGAAAGTAGTAGGCCTCATGAGCACTGCATTAGCCTGTAGTAAAAAAAAATTAACAGATTTGAAACATAGCAACAATATCATAGTTACATACGTAAAACACCAAAACTACTGGGACGATAAATTATGTATAAAAGTATTTAGAAAACAATATAATTATATTTGATATCGATGTTTGAACCTTCCACTAATCAATCTTGATACCAAAGGTTACAAATCCTTGACTTTTAATAGGAAAATCGATGGAAAAATGACAAAATTTCTTTGAAAACCGTATGAAATAAATGAATAGTACAGGTATTTTATTCACAAATCTTTGTTTTATAAGTGAGCCGATTTTGATGACTGTTGTAGTGATGAAGACAACAGCCTACCATCGAAACGTCGGCTCATGTAAAAGTTCCCCCCTACAACCGTTGATAGTAATTTGTAAAACAACCCAGACGGAATCAAAGGCCTTCCTAAAATCCACGAAACATGTATATAATTTACCTCCGGGTGTGGAAATTTGTTGATCGATAAGGGGTTTTAATACAAAATTTTATCACTTGTTCTGTAATCGGCCCTAAACCCAGATTGGTAAGGTGACAATATATTATTATTATCAACAAAAATTTGAAGCCGTTTCTCGCCCTACTTTTCTTTATGTAATAATACTCTTCCTATCATTATGGACTAGCTCGTTAGAATTATATGTTAGTATTAGTTTGTGTATGCACCATTGTAGTCTCTTTGCCATACATTGTACTAGCTACAGTTGTTGAGCAATAAACTTGATTTGATTTGATTTTGATTTGTAAAACAAATGGCTGTGAATAAAAAAAAACTTTACTACAAGAGTACACCGGCATTTTCTTTCCACCACAAGGACTTCTGCATGTAGCTAGAAGTTTGCAACTTTGCTGTTAACCAATGATTAGCCAGGAGTGTTACATTCCAGGCTATTGTTTACATTTGGCAAATGATAGAAAAAAACATCAACAACCTGATAAAATTATTTACGGAGTATGGAATAATGCGCATTAAAATGTAAAATCAGAACAAACCACATAATTCGGTCAGCAGCAGCACTGCAAACTCGCACGGGTCCATCTGCTTCCAGTACACCACCCTTGCAGGGTTGTCCGTGATGATGTTGAGCTCGTCGTAGTTAATGAAGACATCTATACCGGCGGCGATGCAAAACAGCTCAATCCCGGCATTCCTTGCTTCACTGGCACTTTCCGCGTAGCCATCTTGTTTCTGAAAGAGCCAAACGTAACTGTCAATCAATCTTTAACTTTCCTAAAGACTGGATCTTATTGCTCACGCACAAAATGCGTCCTCCCAAATAAGTGAATACATATCTGTATTTGCCATAAATCATCTGAGATTCGTACCGTTAGCATGCCCGTAGCCAGGATTTTGAATTGGGGGATCTTCCCACTGCTTGTGGGGACCTCGAGCACCGTAGGCACGAGGTTCCTAGGGGGTTCCGGGGGCATGCTCCCCGGGAAAATGTTGAAAAATGAACCTTCTAAAATGGCATTTCGTGCATTTTTGAGAGGATTTCCAAGAAAAAAATTAGAGATAAATATTTATTCAATGACAAAGGGAGCAGTTTTTCTACGATTCCGGTCCATCTTTTGAAGAAAAATCTTGGACCTTTAGTGGACCAAAAAGTGGGCCTTTACATAAAAAGTGGATTAAAAAATTGACCTTTGAGCCTGGCTACGGGCATTGTTAGGTATCAATCGTTACGCCAAATACGTTTAGTACATACAATACAATGCAGCATGATAATTTAATCTAAGCAACAATTATAGAATTAACCTCTGAGTTGTAGAAAGCAAAAAGTGGAACAAATTTTGTGCTGACAGAATACGCCAAGTACCGAGCTCTTAGCTACTATTTTTTAAAATACACAACTGTATTTTGGAGAAAGTTGTTTCACCTTCCCATGGACATCAGCCTGTGACCTTCCATCAGTTACGACGACAGCTGCTTTGTGCACAGAAGAGTCGAATGGAACCTAGTAAATAAGTAAAACTCGTAATGTTCACAAATGCTATGATCTTAAGATTAGTTCTTCTCACATAACCAAATTCAAAATACATCCCATCAGTATTACACGAGAAGGGTTGCAGAGTGTCAATTGTAACGTTGGAAAGTTTGTAAACTTTTATGACAAATACAATTCTCTTAAAGTTACTACTTGTGATTTTGTGACGATAATTAAGTAGACAACTCTCCTGCCAGTCATCGAGACGACTAATTTTGCTTTCCATCTCAAGCTAACCATGTCAGGCTCTATACAAATTCCCAAACGGAAACTTTGATTTTATTTATTTTTGATTTGATTTATTGAAATTGCAACAGTGCAATACACGTGGGGCAAAGGCAGCTGTTGCTGGTGTTGTGTCCCACTCATAGAAACGAATACTGAACAGACAATACTCATTTTCACTTGAGTTTAGTGAGGAAAGTCGTGTAAAGTGCCTTTCCCAAGGGCACGAGATAGGTGGCATGTCAAGACGCGAAACCGGGACCTCTTGGGTCCGAGTCAAGCACGCTGCCGTTGCGCCACACGACCCCACATAAACCTTTAGGCCCTTGCATGTGCCAAAACGTTCCTGACACATGTCGGGTGCTCGAGGAGGTAAAGATAACTCCATGATGACATACCACGGTCGCCATGTATCGGATTGCATGGCCGGTCTTTGTGAGAGAGCCTTGGAAGCTGACGTACATGATGAGGTACTGCAGATGTGTGATGCTGGTGTACCCGCCCAATGTGATGTATGTCATTGGCTTCTCATCGTAACGAATAACGGAAACCTGTCCAAAAGAAATCATACAAAAGAATAAAGCATGTATATCAATCATGGGGCTGTTATGTATGTTAGGTCAGGTTAGATTAGCTTAGCTTAGATTAGGTTAAAGTTGGAAAACCCTAACTAAGGCCATGTTAATTTCATTTATGGATGACATCCGCGTGGGCATGGATTTTCGTCCGGTTAGGCCACACCAAGTAAATTTTATGGATGACGTACTTTGGAGACCCTAAATCTAATGCGAGAGGGCGAAAAAAAAAAACAAGAAATGCCCTACAACAAACAAGATGCCTAGATAGAAATATACTAAGAGACGATAAATGTTAGGACACAAATTGAATGAGGTGACACAGTGTAACAAGCAAGAAGTATTTTATTCATCATCAAAACAGCAATAAATCAGGCGGAACAGCAGTTGTCGTCCTGTCCAGTTTTCGTGTTACGGGTTTCACGTCAATCTGACGATTTGCGGCACTGTCGTGACTCTTTGGTCATAGTTACAGGAAGCAGAATTTGTTTTTTTTCTTGGAACAGGCCAAAATCAATTCGCGCGCGGACGTCATCCATAAAATTTACTTGGTGTGGCCTTACCCAAAAAAAGTTTTCAACCATACTGTAAATCGTACAAAATGATACTTATGTCATTGAATGCCGAAATCAATTCAGGAAAGGAAGAAAATGTGAAGAAATGAAAATGAAGAGTATATTATTATTCACCATTTCATAGTCTGTGTGTTTTCTCATTTGTTGAACATTTATGACCGCATAGATTTCATAATGAAGGAAACGTTTTTTGCCAAACTTTTAAAATTCGAACGCTCACGCCAGTTGTGGGGTTCCCAAAAGATGGCATCCATATAATCAAATCAACATGACTTAATGGTATTCCTCCATGTTCAGCAATTTGTTTGAAAAAAGGAACTTACCTTAGTATTCGTGCTATCTAGGCAGGCAATGACATCACGAATGTACTCTTTCATCTCTTCAAAATTGATTGGCCCGATACTCCAGGATCCGTCAAGAAGAAAAACCAGTTCAATGGTGCACGGTTCATCAGGGGTGGTCGTTGGAGCTTCAGGGGTTGTTGTTTGAGCATCAGGAATTGTCGTTGGTTTATCAGGGGTTGTTGTTGGTTTATCAGGGGTTGTTGTTGGTTTATCAGGGGTTGGTGGTGGTGCCCTAGTTGGCGGTGGTGGATTTACAGGGGGGTTTTGTCCACACTCCCCAAATTTCCTTTTTGCGTGGAGACATACAGTAGTATGACTTGGTTTTCACGGGAACAGTATGCAGTAGCGGCTAATTTAAACTTTTATTAATGCTAAAATTTAAGATACAGTGATATATATAACTCACTAGTACTGTCACCACATGAGTTTATAATTTATCACACACACATATATATTGGGACAGAGAAAGAGAGAGAGAGAGATAAATTCTAAACTCATCTGTTGACAGTGTACCAAGTTAGATCGTTTGACACTGTGCCTATTAAATGGGTACTCAGTCACAGAAGTATAGTTCTGTTTCTTCAAATGCTGATTTACTGACTACCCCTCCCAAAAAAGATTACACAAAGATTATAATTATTGTATTTGCCACTCTACATTGGCTTTAAACTAGGGCCAAAATATGACATCGTAAACAACTTCTGGACAAGCCGTAAAGTTAACGAATCAGTAGTTGGTCTTATAAATTATTATTTGCAATAATACTGTTGGAGCGTTGGTCTCAATTTCTTTTTGTATCTATAAATATTGGTACCTTCTGCTGAGTTGAGTACTCCTTACTGAAATGAAGGTATTCTAAGTTATTGTTCACATTCCTCTTAAATCAATTATGAGATGTGAAATGATTTGAATGAGATTTAAATAATGTGAGTATTCAATTCAAATATTGGCAAATACGGTATAGTAATGATACTCACTGTTCGCCTTTAATTATTCCGGGTATTGGGATCGACTTTTTCAAATCCTTCTGGAAGTCACCAACGCCAACCTCCACTCCCGCAATGATTTCTTCGATGCCAGCTTTGTAGCCAAGGAGTTCCATAACAGGAGTCAGTCCTTCCAAACAGAATTCCCCCCATACTGATCCGACGATTGGCATTTCTACGGATGGACTCATCAGTGTTATGGCTGACCTGCCTGACGACGAGAAACCTGCAACATAGAATGTATTAATTATACTTCTGAATCCCCAGTACATGTAATCCCTACAAATCGAGACAGATGAAAGATGCATTATACATTATCATATAGCCAGCAGACGTCAACCAATCAGAATGCTCCATTTACCATCGTTTATCAATACATAACCTCAGCAGCGGTCTGTTATTAAAATAACTGACCAGACCGTAACATCATAAAGAGAACAGGACAGTAACAGTAGTGTTAAGACTTGTAGTACTTATCTATTAAAAACGTATTTGATAGTAGCTAACTGAGGGGTAACAAGGAAACGTTTGTGCATTGTATTTTGCTGTATGTTGAAAGGAAATTCATTAAAAAACGCAACACAAGTCTGATCTAAATATGTCTAAGTCGGAATTACAAAAAACTTGGTGACTTTTCCTAACATTTATCTGCCAGAAAGTTGGTAGTTTTAGGTATTGTTATGGCAACTGGTTTCTGGTGGCCACACCTTTCATCATTCACTATAAGCAAAGTAGTTTTGAAGAAGTTCACTTAATGTCTTACATCTTAGCATTCTATTTCACTTGTTAACAAAATTTTAGAAATTAGTAGCAAATGCAACGTACCAAGTAAACGCCTGATAAATCTTGGCAATAACCAGCGAGGGATAGGTATGTTGATAGGAAGTCCCGGAGCCGGGACGTCCAGTAGCAGGGTTGGTGTGATGGTGCCTGTCAGCTTAGCGCTGCCTTCAGCTTTTGTTTTCGCATCTTTGCTAAGATCGATGTTAAAATCGGTCTGGAGGAATAAAAAAAACTGTTACTATAAGGCCAAAGAATATATAAATAACAAATGGAAACTATAAATTGGCAACGCAATTGCATAATGTTTACCTTAACATGGTGTAGCCTAGCAAACTACTGTCCTGTTTATTCTTACTCAAACACATACCTGTACATATAGGGTGACCAGCCCCTCTAACTCCCTATGCCCTTGCTACAAAATGTAACCCGACACCAGTGTGTATGTGTTTGTGTGTGTTTCCGCACATTTGTAGTCAGCATAGCTTCAGAACGCCTTTACGGATTGTGATGATATTTGGTATGCTGGTAGGTCTTAGGAAGTCGAAGGTCTAGGTCAAATATGGGCCTCCTGGTGGCTGACCATGGTACTGAAGCAGAACGTTTCTATTTTGAGGGAAAACAGATGTGCCGGTTATGACTTCCTCTAACGCAAAACACGTGTGGGCAGACAGCGCGCCTACCCGGTTTGATTGATGTTCTCCCTCTGGAATAGCCTACATGTCAGAGTTGACAGCCTGACCTATTTCAGGACAAAAACCTGTGTTTTTTTGTTCTGTACTGTAGTGTAGTGTACTGTGTAAAAACATTTACAAAAACTATTATATTTCATGGAGGTTTGAGATCTAAGAATTCTTGTTAGGACTTTACTAAGCAATCATACATCAAACCGTGGTGTTAGTCCCCGCCCACTGCTCCATGAGACGCCCATCGATGCTGACGCTGAAGCAGTAGCTTTACATGATATCTCAAACTCCACCTGCGGGAACGGAAATATCGTACAGCTATGGTAATTAAGAGATATGGGAATTCTTTTTACACAACCAAAGAGTCTCACCTCGCTGACGTTTCGGTGTCTGTCAGACACCTTCTTCAGAGCTTCTGACTGGAGTACTGCATCTCGCCGCTATATGTAGCCGATGTAGGTGGCGCTTTTGCGGCGAGTAATGAACCGGGACGAGGGG